TAGTTTTTTTAGTAAAGTAATACTTCATTTATTATTAAATTAAAGTATAATAAAATAATTAAAATAGTATAAAAAGTTAATTTAGACCATTCTTTATTTAATATAAAAAAATTATAAAGATTGGTTAAAATTTGAATGATTTTTATTAGAAACAATTATTAATTTTTATATTGGTGTATCAATCTTCTTGCAACGGCCCATATGATAATTTATATAGTCATATAATTATTTATATACTGATGATTTCTGAATATTTAAATAATTAATAACTCAGTTATTTTAAATAAGTCAAATGATCAGATCAATTTACAAACAAATAATAGAAATAGCCAAAAATGCAAGATTAGGCTTTTAATGATGTCTGGTTTAAAGTATTGAATAAATATTATCAAAACATATTACATGTATATATACTTTACATATTATATTACATGTAATCATCAAAGGATTTTTGTATAAATTGTCTGCACGTACGAAGAAGAGCAAAGTACTTCTAGCTATAAAATTAACTTTAGAACAAGCCATTTGAAACCTTTGACAATAAAAATTGGGGTAGAGTTAGATCTGCATATAATGTCTCATTTTTGGAAAATTTCCTGTCCGCAAATTTATTGACTTTTCGCTTGTTCATTTATATTTTCAGCCCAATTTCTAAATTCAGGGCAGACGCCATGATTTGAGCCAAATACGATAACTTTAACTTCCCGTAAATGTGAGAATTTAGCGGACAATAATGGCGCCACAGCTCTTTCGGTAATGTTGAAGCAACGAATACACTCAATTTTCTCGAGTTTTGTGCAAGCAGCTAACCCATCGAATGGTGGGCTATTTTCGAAATTCAGTAAAACAAATGTAACACGACGTAGTGAAGATGCTTGACTACGCAACGCCGACATGAACTTTGATTGATGATCACCACAAGTAGAAAGCGTGAATGAAACTAAATGGGTTTGAGAAGAAATTAAAGAGCAAAAGTTTTCGACGAGTTTATTTTTACAATCTCGTTCCGAAGTATAAAGAAATACTCGAGAGAGATCAAGATTTCGCTAACGAAGAATGATTATAAAGTTTAGAAAGCGAACATTTCGAATAGAAAAATAAGGATGAAACATTTCTTTGCTCACCACTTTAGTAAAAGTTTCGGATAAAGTTACAAACACCTGATCAAAATTCGCGTAATTTCCCGATAAAAACAAGTTTCCCGTCGGATTAGTTAGGTCTCTGATTTGTGGTTCAGCCAAAATTTTTGTATATTTTCCAATGATATCGTAATTTATTTGATCCATTCGATCGGGAAGAACCATTTTGACGGAAGTTAATTTGGCACCGCTCGCGGCGAATAGTTCAAGAAGCGCTCGTACGAGTGCAATTGCAGCTGGTGTGGATGTCTGAAGAGCAGTGGATTGCGTTTGTCGACACCATTCCCAAACGGTAAACAGCATTTCTTTATACTCGAGTTGTCGAATTAACGAGGGATAATCAAAGGCTGGATGTTGACGTCGTCTGTGTATTAAATTAGGAAATACAAGGCCAAAATCTTTGAGTATTTGTAGTTGTTCATTATTCATACAAGACAGATACACATCAATAATGTTAAACCGATGCTTCGAATGGTTTTTATTAAATGGTTGTTTCCAAAGTTGAATTACTCCTGCGCTACACCATTCTCTATTCACTAAAATACAATCAAATAAATGTTTATATCCTGGATTATCAAATTCATCGAGTTTATGAACTGGCTCGATGACGTAACGAAATATTTCTTCCAAAATATCAAAATTAAGATTCTTCCTATGCAGACAGATTTTTTTAATAATGCATTAGTGATTTTTTTCTACCATGATTAAGTCAACAAAGAAAAACCAACCTGCCGCTGATTTTCCTTGATATACTTTCCCCGTTTGACATGTCATGTAGAATAATAAATGGAAAAATGGGAAAAATTGAAAAATGGTTGTGTTTTGCTGTCTTTTATTGCTGATTGTACGTATCGGTATATCTGAATTCATTTTATAGGGTAATGATTATGCATTTTTGTGTGTTGCCTTACCTATAAAGTGAAATAGCACATTCGGATCCGCATTGCCTTCGAGAAAATTCGAGATTAAGCTCGAACCTATTAGAAAGTCCCTAGAACGGGTGTCAATTTTTCCAGTCACGTTTTCTCAAAGGTGTGATGCATTACATAATACAAGTAATTGTAATGCACCATAAATTGGATTGGAACAAGTATTAGCGTTAGCATTCGGGTATCAAATCCAATTACATGTATTTCATTCCCTCATTCGAGCTATGCCGATATCGATATACATTTATTCACCTAAAATGATATTTTCCCCCCGAAATAGGTCAAACATGAATTCCATGTGTTTCACAATTTGCGTTGTTTTAGGAGATGTGAAGTTCCGATAATGGCAAATTGAAACAAAGAAACAAATGAAACGTATTATCGTTACATTATTATGAGGACGAATCAGGGGAATAAGTAACAGCCATTTAAATATGAGCATATTCTCTTACACATCGCTGAAAAAAAGTTGCTTTAGTTTTTTTTTCGCCCAAAAAATTTTTCAAATTATCCTTTGTGAAATTTGCCAGGAGCAATTTTCACTCAATCTTCTCTCTAGCGTTAGGACTATCCCAAACGAGCATTGATTGCTCCCTATCCCATCACCCCATATTCAATCACTATAAAAGCATACAAACAAAAATAAATCATGGACTTAAACAATATTCTCGCATACGCCTTTATAATTCTATTTGTCTCATTATTATTATTATTACTTGTATTAGCTGTTAAATATTTTTACGAGAGATTGATGATCAAATCTAGCAACAAAAATGATGCAGCAAATGGAGTAGTGCCAAAAGTTGAAATTAAATTAAATGCGAGCAACAGGCCGATAAGTGAAATGACGGTGGTTGACTTGGGTGAAGACGACGAGAGGAAGAAAAAGAAAAGTGATAAGAAACGGAAAAACGAACATTTAGTCATCGAAATTCCAAGATAATATTAGCATTAGCGATAGCTTAATTTCATAAATAAATGCTAATTGTAAAATTATTTTGTACTTTGAAAATAAAAGCTTTTCGAATGTTCATTTTCTTTCACTTATAAAGAGAAAGGACCCAAGTAGAATTATTGTGGGAACAGATTCTTGGAATAAAAGCAAAAAGCTATTTAGCCCCAGCCCATATATATTACTAAAGTCAAAATTCCTATTAGAATTATCGTAATAATACCTACCTTTCCGGAAATCAATTCTAGCTATGTATGATTATTTATTAGAGGAGGAGTTTCATTCACCCTAACCAAGATAATCAAAAAAATGTACAAAGAGAAAATCGACTTAGCAATAATGATGATGATAAAATCAAAATATTAAATAATTAAAAAATAGATGAACATACCAAAAAGAAGGTATACAATCTCGCGAAATTACGTCCTTTTCTTGCCCTCTTCAACGCCTCATGCATATCAGTCTGTGAACCGTTTCCACATTCCAAGAAGTCAGCGAGTGCACAATTCGCAAGTTCGTATTCATCCTCAGCAGCTTTCTTGTACCAATAAAAAGCTTTATAAGTGTCCACATCAGTTCCCCAACCATAGTGATAACATTGAGCAAGTTTAAATTTGCCAAATGTATCTCCATTAACTGCGGATTTGTGCGTCCACTCGAAAGCTTTTTTCTCGTCTATTTCACACCCACATCCTTGACGATAACAGTAACCAAGATTATATTGGCCTCGTTCGAATCCGGATTCGGCGGAAAGTTTGAACCATTGAAAAGCTAGTTCTGAGTCTTCTTTTACCCCTCTTCCATGATTATAAAAATAACCGATGGCACTTTGAGCCATAGCGTTTCCGCCTGTGGCGCTTTGATTTGATTTTTTATACCAATGAAATGCCAACTCGTAATTTTGCTCGGTACCAATTGCATTTTCATAGCAATACGCTAAATTATATTGACCAACAGTGAATCCAGCTGTTGCTGATTTCTTTGCCCAGTAAAACGCTTTATTATTATCTTTTTGGGTGCCTGTTGCGTCTCGATAACATCTGCATAAAAAGTTTTGACAATATCTATCTCCATTCTCATCCCCTTGAAGATAAATTTGTAATGCGTATTCTCGATCGATCTTTGTCCCAATTCCATATTCGTAGCAATAACCAAGTAAGGAAAGATGATGTGGTTTTTTTTGTTTGATTTCATATTGCTCTTTTAAATATAACAGTGAATTGAGGAGTTCTTTTTCCTTGTATCCACGTTCAAAAAGAAATTCAATAATCACTTTTTTGAGTGTCTTGAAATAAGTTCCGCGGTTAAGAGCATCAATAAATGTAAATGTTGCTTTATTCGCTATTCTGAGTTTTCGTTTTGATAATTTGTCTGGAATAGTAGTCCAAGTTTTGTCCATTATTTTCTTGCGTTTGTGCGCGTATTGGTTTTAAAATATATTATTTTAATCTTTTTAATTATTATATTATTGATGCAATAAACGATAAAATTACAAAAGCATCATCATCATCATAATCATTGAAAAGTCGAAGTTTATTTTAATTTTGTCACACAATAATTGTTCATCCACCAATCAAAAATTTTGCATATGACATACAGTATACGTAAACGTACGTACCTGCAAGAGAAAAATCGGGTCTTTACCATTGCGAATTTTTCTGCTTGACGTTAATATAAAAAGATAGCTTTTTCATTAAAAAACCCCAATGGAATTAATTTAAATTGGTTGAAAAATGCATTTTTGAAACAATTTTGGTGTTGAATTCGATTTTTGTTGTCCCCAAATAAATTTATCGATATATTGATTTGCCAAATAAATTCGCTCAATTAAACCGTGATCCGCTGCTGCTATCGCTATAAAGTGAAGCGACTAGAAATTTTTGTTTTAATATCATAGAATTACGCTTTTGATAAATTTTATATTTGGGATTTTTTTTTGGTGGAAATCATGCGTTTAAGGAGCGAGCAACCTTCTCACACTACCTTATCATCGATTAATTGAAATTATGAACAACTAATTTATTAAACAAGAATAAGCTGAGAAATTAGAATAATACTGAAACGTTCATTACAAAGGTGAAAATATTCTATTCAAACCAAACATTGCATATGGTGCCAGATCATTTCTCTTTATACAACGTCTATTCAATTTGATGGCCGTGAAAATATCTTTATTACACGCATCGCCAAATTCAAAAAACGCTGCCAAAATCTGTTGACTACTTTCATTCCCGGCAAGCGCAGCCTCTCGAAACCAATAAAAGGCCAACCAAAAACGGTTTTTCGATTTGTCAAAATACATGTAAAATTGCGCTAAATCTTGTTGTCCCCGTGGATTCCGATTTTCAGCTGACTTTTTTAACCAGGATTCTTGTAGCTTGGTGTCTTTGGCAATCCCGAATCCGCATTGATAACAATGCCCAATAAATAATTTCGCGTAACCATCATCATCACCCTCAACCGCATTATTAAATATTGTGAATGCTATCTGATAGTTCATATCAACACCGATCCCGAACAAATAAAAAAACCCTAATAAGCATAACCATCTGGCTGGTTTTTCAGAGTCATTGGCTTTGATCATGAGTAGATTTAAGGCTAATTCTGGTGTTACATTATTGGCGTGAATTATTGTTCTTATATCTGTGGCAATATCTTCAAAAAAGTATCCACGATCGAGTTTTTGATGAAATATTTTAAGTAGTTTGGGAATAATTTCTTCATCCGATGATGATGATGATGATGATGTGAATATTGAAGAAGATGTTGGCGTCGTCGTCGCTGCTATTGATTCTTGAGCTCTAAAATCTTGAAATATATTATTCGTTATTCTGCTTACAGTTGCCATTTTATTATGCATGAAATTGTTCTATCGCTATATGTCGTCGATGAAATTATGTAACATTTAAAGAAATAATGAAATTATAAGGCAACAAGTAATGTTGTTGCCACTGTGTGTGTATACTCAAGCAACAAAGAGAGTAATACATGTACATGTACATGTATGCTTTTTACATGTACATGTATAACAAGCTGCGATCTTCTTATCGTGTTTCCATACCCAAAAGTCACGAGCTTGTGGAATGGATGTTTAATTGGATAAAGTTCAAATCAGAATTTTTCGCGAGATTTTTTTTTTTGAAATAAAATATTTCCATAAATGGATTGATTCAAAATAGATTTTTTAATTAGCGTTAGTTTTTGCATGAATGAAATACAGTACATTCATAATGATCAAACAAAAGACATGAATCGGTAGCGAGTAGAAAATCATTTCGGGTGGGTGTGAAATATATGTATGTACATTGCTCAATTTATCGTTCGGTTAAAAAATTTTGGAAAAGGTGATTGTTCAAAAATTTACAATTTTTATTTTGTGACTAACCGAGTCTGGAGAAATTTCGTGCAAATCATTCAAATCACTCAATCAGAAATTTTTTACTGATTCACACAAAGAAAAGTTTTGCTTACCTCCCACCCCCTTCCCAAATTAAAAACCCTAGCTGCATTCAAACACGCACTCAAAAAAACACAAAAGGTTACGCGCAAAATAATTTATATTTTCGTTTTTATTGTGTCTAATTCTTTGGTGTGTAATAATTTTATTTCTCAAAATATACCTTTTATTATTTTTTTTACTGTGTTGTTATTGGTTGATAATCAGAAAAATCCATAATGATATTAATATATTGATCAATTATCAACACGTTTCAAAATATATCGCAATTACGTAAGGTCCATTGTTTCATAATCAAGAAAGCTATAATAACTACATACATATTTCCATCGACGGGGAAACCATGAACGGGTTGCCACCACAAACTACTATTGATCCAAAAAGAACTGCTGAGATTATGGCAAAAACTGAAGAGGCATTTATTTTAATTTTTTTTAAAAATACCCTTTCGTAAGTCATGATCACGATAAAACATTATCTTTATTAATTTTATACAGGCAATTGAAGCATATTTCCAGGCAGGTCAACAATTGCGCTACGTTTCTCAAGTTATTGGGGAATTACAAGCTCTTTTACCTCCAGACATGTGTATCAAATTACCACCTGGTTTACTAAATGAGATTCCACCTATCGGTGTGCACGATCAAACCACCAATAATGCATCAACTGCTCCTTTGGCCGTTGATTTTAACGATCCACATCGGAATATTAATATTATCGAGTCGCCTCAACCAACAAACGGTAAATCGAGTAATAATAGTCTGACAATTGAGAACGAGCTGAAGAGAGAAATTTATAGTGATGAGGAAGAGGAGGAAGATGAACTTTATCCTTCTCCGCCATTACATCAATCATCTCCCGTTTCAAGCCCTGAACCAATTCGGAACAATTCATCCACCAAAAGAAAAAGAAAATCAAAGCAAAAAGATAAAATTTATCATCATCAGCAGCCCTATGAGACAGTAAAAGAAGAATCAAGATTAACTACAGATCAATTATACAACAATCATGAAGAGGAGATCAATGATGATGCTATCAGCTCAACATCGAGTGTCAAACAACGGAAACCAAAACATACTGAAGTTAACATCACCAAAATCAAGTATCAAGCTTTGAAACGAGTCAGAGTCCCGCTTAATAGAAATACTCAATTCGACGCAGAAATTCCTCCTACTTACTCAACGACACAAACATCACCTGAATCAGCAAACTCATCATCACAAATTATTAACAATGAACATACACCGCAAACCCCTGAAGCTCCTGCTCCTTCTCCTGAAAATACATCCAAAAGAAGGAGCTCTGCGACCCGAGTTAATAATACGATAAAAAGACAAGGTTCCGCTTCACCAAAATCGGTTCCATTAACTGACGAACAAAACGCATTGGTGGATGAGTTTGTCAAATATTTGGAACCTCGCCTAGAAAAAGGCGAAATTTCGCAGAAAGGCATCGCTAATGAAATTCGTGAAAGGTCAGGACACACTTGCCAGATTGTACAGGGAACCATTTCAAAAATGGTACGAAGGATTGCAGTTCCAAAAGAAGAGAATACTATCGCAGCTATTCGTAACTGGATTGAAATCGAAAAAGGGAACCGCGGAACCTCCGAATAAGAGGTTGAGACACAACGTAGTTTATTATTTCTTTTTATGAGTGTAATTGGACACTAATTTTGACATTTTGAAGGAATTAAGAATAAATCACCGATTTTTTTCTCTATATCGATACAACAGCACATACTCTTGCCAAATTATGTCTCTTGTCTGTTAAATCTAGTATTATATATATATATATATATATATATATATATAATTCTCCGTACAAGTGTTTTGCTGCAATAATGATAGCACAATACATGTATGTATGTAAGCAAAATAAATTCAATCCATCAACCTCCCAGTTTCATTTATGACTGTCGCCCATGCACGAAACTCTTCACAAATATAATCAGGTGATGAAAACAATAGAATTACCAATCGTAATTTTTTGTAATCCGCACTAAAAACTGGCTGCAACATTTCCGCATTTAAATTAGTGCAACAATAAAATTCCATTTTCTCGAGGTTTATGCATGAGGCCAAACCATCTAATTCTTGACAATTAAGGAAATCACAGGAGATGAATTTGATTCGACGAAGTGTTGTTGAATGAATTTTTAGGATATCGTTAATTTTTGACGCCGAACAATAGGAAACTGTGAGTGAAACGAGTCGTTTTTGTGACCCTATCAATCCCACAAACCTTTCTATTGTAGCATGATAATTTCGATATAGGTAGCTATCGGCTAGATTGTCCAAATTCATAAATTCCTATGATACGATTTTAAAATTAATGCAGGTAATTTTCTTGTTTGTTCATTAATAACAGTATTAAATAAGCATACCACATTTTTACAAATATTTTGCAATTCAGCAATTGAATTCTCCTCGTCATTTGATTTGGTTTTCAACCAAAGTTTACGTATATTTTCCAATAAAGGAATCGAATGTGAATCAAGTAGTAGATGAAGGTAGCTACTGATGTTAACCCTTTTATCTCTCACAGTATCAAAAGGAAAAAAACCCGAAGAATTTATGTATAATGACTCTAATCGGACTCCACTATTCAAAAATAGTTCAAACAAAAGTCGAACGCATAATATGATAGATTCTTTGGAGGTTTTCAGGTCATTTGGTAAGGTTTTCTCTGACCAACAGCAGATCACCGCTATCATTCTATTAAACTCTAATTTACGAATAAAGGATGAATAGTTAAACATATGATTGGGAAGTATTTGCATCTCCTGCTGTTTCTTTTTCCGTGAGAATGAAAAATATCTATGTAAAAGTGGTCTTCGTTGTTCTTGCTTTTGCTTAGATGCATCTATTGAATGTTTTCCCATTTCGCGAATTCTCTTTTCGAAAATTGCCCAAGGCAACAATAAATCGAGTACTTTATAACACGGTCCTGAATATGTGATTTTAAATGGTTGTTGCCAAAGGAATTGAACTGCTACTTCTGACCACACCTTATTAACTAACATACAATTATAAAGAATCCAGTGTCCAGGTGGATTTGTTACAAGTTCCTCTTGATAAATTGGGTCAGCGAAATTCGAGAAAATTAGCTTTAAAACGTCGGAGGGTAATTGAATACTATTCATAGTTCAAATTATGATTCACTATATTATATTAAAAGAACGTAATTAAAGCTTGTTAATATAAATAAAAACTAATTATTCACGTTTATACATGTATGTCCGTTTGTTTCACTACCATATTTCAAAAATAGATTGGTTCATCTATTTACATTTATATAATCAGAATCAGATCAGAGTAACGATTACGATATCGATAACGTAGTATGGGACATAAGGCTAATTCTGTGTATAAAAAATCCTTTGTTTGTTTTTAATATGCAATCGTGTTTCAAAATTCTTTGTCTAGTCGCGAGATTTGTTTATCAATAAACGTGGTTTTAATACATGTAATCTCACTATCATTGGTAAAACGGTATTGATAAACACGGGATTCCACACTAAATGTATACAAGTACATGTACATGTACTTTGTATTTAACAAGATTCACTTGATAAGACAATTCCCAATTGAAACATCGGGATTCTCGTTATCATTATTGGAAGATGTTGTATACTGTAGTGAAGACATTTTTTTTTGAGAAATTAAAATATTCAAAACAATAGCTTTTGAACAATGTGAGCCAGATAAATGCCCGCATGATGAGATTTATTTATTTAGACCAATGAAAGAATGCGATAGCTAATAGGATTATCTAATTCATCACATCGAACTTTTTTTAACGTTTGTATAGCTGTTTTAACTGTCATTTCTATTGTCATTCCGAATTTGTGGTCTTGACAAAATTTATGTGCAAAATATGCAAATTAACAAATTTGATATTTGTAAATGCAAGAAAACAAGAAAAGAATATTTGTTCAGAACCAAGTCATACATGTATTTGATCTATATTTATATACATACTAAAATGGGCTGTTTTTTTATAAACATATCGATGACTCGAGACACGCTCATTTTGGTTGTCTGATTATTTATCGTTATATCTTTGTAAAAGCCCGAAAATAAACAAAAATCAAGTATAAATAAGATATTTGATTATTTAAAATCAATAACAAAATATCAATTTAATTATTTAGTTTTCATTTATAAGAAGAATAAAATCAACATTGAAGCAAACAATGAATGAATAGCAACACATGTGGGAAATTTTCTCGTGCTTCGCTTTATGAACTGTTTGAATACAGTGAGTTCGACACTAATTGATGGTATTACAATAATCAATTCAATCTCTGTTACATGTACAAAAGAATATTTTTTTAGTACTGAAAACATACCAATACATACAATAATGATAGTTGTATCACTGCACTGTTACAAATAATCATAACGACAAACATGTTGATTCGAAAATCTAGTATTAATCTGGTTTCTATGTTTCACTCAATTGCTTAAGTGTGTGTTATCGTTATGCTCAAACGAAAAGAATCTTATCAAGGCAAACAACGATAATGACTTCACCAACAACTCCATCTAGTGGTTCTATTTCTGAAAACATTAATACGATTGCTACTAGTACAAAATCTAAGAAGGAATGGTTAGATAATGCGATAAGAGAAAAATTTATAAAGACCGTACCATATTCTGAGTTCCAAAGGGTGAGGCCGGCTGGTCGAGGTGGATTCGCAGAAATCTACCAAGGGTACTGGCCAAGTGGATCACGCGATGTAGCATTAAAGAGCTTGTTCGCTCAACCAGACAATGAGCAGAGTTCTTGGGATTCATTTGTTCGCGAGGTTTCTATATACTGTAATTTTTGTTGTTTGAAATTAAGTTTAATTTTTTTATTTGATTGAATATAATAGTTAAAACTGGTTCAATCAGTCAATCATAATGATAATATCATAAGATTTTTTGGAATAAGTTCCGGTAAGTGTACATGTATGCAAATAAAATAAATTCAACGTTTTTTTTTTTAAAAAATTTCATGTGTATATCATGATAGACGAAGAAAATCAAAGATACTTTCTAGTAATGGAATTTGCGAATAATGGAAATTTGCTACAATATCTCCAAAAAAATCATAATAATCTTACATGGCCTGATCGTATTCGAATGGCTAGAGAAATCGCGAGTGGTCTTAACTGTATTCACCATGAAAATGTTTGCCACCGGGATTTAGTTAGTAATTATTTTAAATTAATTTATAAAGGTTGAAATATCTTTTTATTAATTTCAATCTTTTGTATTTCATTTAGCATTGCAAGAATGTGCTTGTTCATAATGGGCATATGAAAATTGCAGACTATGGTCTTGGAAAAGATCTGGAAGATTCAGCATGCGACTCGATACATGGTGGCATAGTGCCATATACGGAACCAAAATATTTAAATGATAAAAAATTTCAGCGAAATAAACCTTCGGATATATACGCATATGGAGTTCTTCTCTGGCATATTTCGAGCGGATATTATCCATTTTCTCAGGAGTCAATCAAGAAAGTTGATTTACAAGTTGATATCATAAAGGGTAAACGAGAACAAGTTATTTCCGGAACCCCAGGACAATATGAAGACCTTTATAAACGATGTTGGGCGCCAGAACCAGAGGATCGGCCGACAATAGAAGAAATAATGGAAATTTTAAATTCGAATTTTTGTGAAGAAAATACACTAAAGGATACTAAACTTGTTATTCCCAATTCGATACAATCGAGTGTTAATACAGGATGCTTTCATACAGGGCGATCTTATATTTTGAGTAAGGATTTATTATGTGAATCTCCTGATATTATATCATATGTATGTATAATTAAACTCTTGTATGTATTAGTATGCCATCTACGAACTTAATATTTTTTTATTTAATTTAGCCCGGGGTAAATCAAAATGTGGAAAATATGGAAAATAACTGTAAAATGATATGTTCCCAATATAAACAAGCTCTCAAGAGGTCGACCACACCAACTGCATGCAGTCCAATTTATCATTGTGCTCTTGGAGATGTAGAAGGTTTAAAATGGCACCTAACCAATAGTCCAAATGCAGGACAGCGTATTTTAATTGCCACAGCGGCTCAATACTGCCCTCCTTCACAAATTGTTCCCGTGTTCGAAACGTTGTTGGAATTTGGAATCGAAATAAATTCTCAATTAGATGACAAAGGTCATACGGCTTTTCATTGGTTATCAGAAAATATTCGACTTTTGGAAAGTTCAAATGGAAGAACAAGCAATTCCCCGCAAAACGAAACGAATTATTTTAACGAGGCAACAAAATGGCTAATTGATAGAAAATTAGACATAAATGCGAAAAATATTTTTGGACGGACAGCCTTATCGTGGCTCGTAGAGAAACAACAACCGCAAGCTGTCAAAATCATGCTTCAATATAAAGTCGATCCAAATATAGCTGACGAAAATGGAAGCACCCCACTCTATAGGGTATTAAATTATGAATACAAGGTTCGGAACTTAATTTTTTCCTATAATAATCAAACTGAATTTAATATATAAGCGAGTATTCAATTTAATCTCCAATATAAGGTTAATAACGAAAGATTTAACAAGAAAAATCGCGAGGTAGTGCGATTACTTTTGGAGAATGGAGCTAAAACGAATATTCCTATTAATCCCGAACAGCCAACTTCAACGAGAAGTTTTCCGAATTCATTATTTCTTGCGATATTTCGAGGTTGGCCAAATGATATACTTCAACTACTCATTGAACATGGAGCGAGCGCACACGATACAAAGAATGGACAGAATGCTCTTTTCTACGCAATTTCAAACAGACGTGCCCAAGCGACGCAATTTCTCATGGATAACATCGGAGTTTTTCAATCGCCTGAGATTATAAAAGAAGCCATGAGCATGAGAGAATCAATGGATATGTCAGACATAAGAAATATTTTTAAGAAATGGAGACGCAACTCCCGCGCCGAAAGTTTCTCTAGGCATTCAGAAGAAAATATAGACTAATTACAAGTTGTAATATTAATCGTTACCTATATGTACACGTACATGTAAAATAACACTCGTCAGGATTCAGCAATATAACAGTTATGCTATATTGTTATTAACGTCAGCCAAAAAAATTGTGTACTTCTTTCTAATCATGATTTTTCATTGTCTCAGCAAATTTCATGAGCATGAAACTTTTCAGATATTCTTCTGCATAACTTCGATATTTAACGAAATTCGGATAGACTGGCCTAAGTATGGAATATTTCCTCGAATATTAAACTGATTGTTTTTGAATTTCTTAAAGTTAGTTGTATAGGAAATGAATGTATTCATCTCTCAAGCTATAGTTTTATTACATTGATTATTTCAAATTGCTACATAGTCAGAGACTCTTAGAAGAATTCCCACGAAACAGATTCTGAATTGTACTCTGTGTTGAAAAAGTTTCTGAGTAGCAAAACCTCAAAGAAAGATGCTCAAGCCTACATAATCTGAAAATCATCAATAATTGTTTCTCAGAATCAATATTGATAGCAAATTTTTGTTTGATAAATTCTCGCCTTTGAAATTTAATCATCGTGGACATTTTTGTCGATGTTTTGCAAAAACGAACCATTAAGGAATTTAAACCATATTCTACACGTTACTGGAACTTTGGAACAATTTATCATTGAGAAGAATCAATCATCATTTTTATCAACAAAAGATTCGAAAGTGGCGTGAAAGCTTTGCAAAATATTGTCATAATAATTTACATTTTTCTTGTGATTTGAAATCATAAATATTGCTTCAACCCTAAATTCACCGGATTCCATTTAAAAAACATCATTTCCAATTGAACCAGAATAGGAGAACGACTAAACTTTGGACCACATAATCCTAATTGTAGTAAATACATTTCATCGACAAAAGCTATATGAATCAAAGAATTTGATAATTCTTCTTTTTTCGTTTAAGTAAACAGCACTTTGTCACTAATTACATCTCGCGCATAACTTAAATGGACTTTTTGCTTTTTGTATTGGATAGATATACATGTACATGTACAGTCGCCACAAAAAATAACGTCCGATTTTTTTTAAAAAATGAAATACCCGATTTATTTTATTCTGTTTTATGTAAATAAAAATCTTTTTTATCACTAACTAATACATTATTGGCTCTTCATATGGCTTTAATATTACTTTGATTTTTCAAGGCATTGAACCTGCAACCATCTCAAAAACCAGCATATCAAAATTTTGAGCATGCTTCCTTTAGAGTAGTCTTGAGCTTTTTAATGATCATCGGGAAGCTTTTATATTATTTTCTCTAATGACTTCTTTAATGAGAACACACTAATTGTTGATTTTCTATTTGAATTTATTTTGTAGCTTCTTAATATAAATCAAGTGCGATTTCTTTAAAACATTATGTTCTTATCAATAAACAAATCATATTATTAAAAGAGATGAAATTGTCTTATAAAATCTTCAGGTAAACTTTTTTATTATCAATATCTTGAAATGACTCAAGATATCTTTTTTTTGAATTCTCGTATATGTGCATTTTTTTCTTAATTATTAGGAGCTTATGATCTTTTAGATAGTAATAAATATTTTTCTATACTTTTGACAAGAGATTATTATATTATTATTAGGTTATTATTAGGTTATAGCATATTTTTTTGCAGTCTGTTTGATAATTATAATAAAAATTATTATTTTATTTTGTTAATACTAGTTAACTAGTATGATAAATATTATAATTTATATCTAATAAAATTTTGTTTAGTATATATTTAAAAGTAAAAGAAGAAAACAAAAAAATTTAGAGTCAATAATTATTTTTATTAATAAATTATAGTATATAATAAAATTAAAATATAAATTTTTTAAAATTTTTGCTTTTTATAGTATATAATTAATAAATCCATCAAAAAGTAAGATTCTAATATTATTCAGAAGTTTTATTACAAAATTATACAATACTTTCAGGATCTGTAAGTAATTATATAATACTTTCAGGATTAAGATTAAAATGAAGATAAAAATAAACTTTATTTTGTTAGATTGATTAAAAATTTATTGGTTATATAACTCATTAAGTGCCAGATTCTGAAAGTATCGTATAATTTTTATAGATCTTTTTTGATAATATATATATATATATGCTAAAATAATTATGACTAGTAAGATTAATATAACTAAATTAATCAATTAGGATAGTAAGATCAAGTTATAATATAAAATTCAAAAGATAAAGTTTATTTTAATATTTTTTTAAATTGACAATTATATCTCAAAATTATATTTATGAGCTTGCTCTTTATGTTCTATCAAAAATTATTTCTTATGAAATTTTGCTATATATATAAACTTTTTGCTAAATACCACTTTCATCCTGGAAATAAAGAAAAATCTAACCAAGAAATTTGTGGAGTATTTTCTTATATGAGTCCAGAGGTGCTAAATGGAAAGCCATACCTAACGCTGCAGATATTTATAACTTTGGAATGATTGTGTACGAAGTTGTAACAGGTGATCGACCATTTTGATGAGCGAAGTCATGATATTTTGTAATAGATATCTACATGCATAAAGAAGTACGACCTAGATATCAAATAATGGTGCAAATTTATAATTGAAAAATGTTGGGATCCTATTCCAGAAAACAGACCAACTGCAGAGGAACTGCACGACTTTTTCAAATCTATCAGATATGAATACATCGAAAGCCGAATATTTACATTTTCAGTAGTAAAACTCTTTAGAACATCCTAAAACAGATGATAGCAAGACAAAAATTAAATAAGCTTGACAAGGAAATAGAACCGCAAAAAATTATTCCTGTAAAATACGATCAAAAGACAACAAATCCACTCAAATGCAAGTCGAATCTTTATTGACAATTATAAATCTATAATAAAATAAATAATATGCATTAAAAGAGAAGCTTATTTATGTTATTAAAAATTGCCCGATTTGTTTTTTCGTTTTAGTGATGTATAAATTTTGAGTGTCACTGTAACTTTTATACTATTTTAAAGTTAATTAATTTAATTAATTGTAGTTTCAAAAATGATTCCTGGGAGATTTTGGTCAATTTATAAATTGGATGATATGTAGTCATCTTTGAAAGATGTAAATATCGATATTTCACCAAGATCACTGTCCATATTTTTGTTAGGAAAAGACTAACGCTAAATATAACGATAGGGATCAATACAGTTAATGCTTTACATGAGGTTAAAAAGAGTTCGTTATATCGAGTTCGTTCGTTTATATCCAAAGTTGATTAATATTAAAAATAATTTAGCGATCTACAATAATTTAATATAGCAGCCGAATCGGAATCAACAAAAAAAGCGCAAATTACATGTTAACGATAATTAAAAAAAAATTAGGATTAAATGTCTATGTTTATAGCCATAGCGCTTGCTTGACTTTGAATCCAACTCGTGTCATAATCCCTGTGTTTTTCGTAGCCTCTGCCAAACTAGGAAAAAGTAAATTTGTTAATCACCTAATTGAAGAAATTCGTATGAGTCATGTAATCAAATACCTTATAATTGGTTTCTCAAGAACAATTAGGTTATCACTATTTCCAATGTCACGACATGCATTAACGATATTCTCAATAACTTCATTGACAACTTGCTTTGACGTGACCTCATTAGCTCCTTTTATCAGATCCGATCCAGCACCAGCGTAAAATTTTGTTGCTTCACCAGCCAAATTGCTACGAAAAGCTTTGAACGCGGTGAATCGTATACCGGCTGCTTCATCTTTATCGTTTTTAGTATCTTTTGCAGCAACAGCAACATCAGAATTACGAAGGCTTCCCGAATTCACACGCCCTGATTCACCAACTGCTCGATAATAAACGATGAATCCATAGTTATCTTCAGGTGAAGTGCATGATGGATGTAAAGTAGATAATATGTATTCCCCTAATAAATATTCAATTATTGAATAAGTAATTATAAGATTGGAAAATTTTGTCATTGATAATACATCTTGATTTACCTTTCTCCAAACTTGTAATATCACCTAATCCTATCCGTTTAAATTGCATTACTTTATCAAGCCGGTAATGGAAAGTGCATATATATAATGCTTTATTTGTAAGGAGAACAACTTTCTCTTCGTATGCTTTGCCTCGTCTAAAATTTTACAGCTCATGAATAAATTTTAGATATATCTTCAACCAAAACACCACACCTACTTTGTATTTGATTCGACTGGTGATAAAAAGGTCCACCCGTTTAATTTTGTCTCATTATCGACTATCACAATCTCACTGGTAGTCTCAACTTGAAAAAAATCAAGTTCTTTACGTTAAGGACAATAATAATCATCTGCCAGATAAGGTTAGATACTAACTGACCTGCTGCCGCTCTGACTTTTGCCCAACGATCAGCATCACCAGGTTCAGATACTTCAAATTTTTGTTGGAGTTCGAGAAACACGTCAACATCCCGGTTTCCCAAAATATAATCAATCGTGGCCTAATAGGCGACGCTTCACATTAACATACAGCCTAACAGTGTAATCAAAGGCAACAGCTGCTTGAATTCAAACCTGTCTTAAGAAATCTTTAAACGTATTTTGATACATTCGAGCTAAAGAGTTAGAAGCATCATTAACGAGTCCTTGTAAATTTCGCTTTCCTTCAATTATAAAGAAATGATGGTTTCGCATGAGACTTTAAACAAAGCGATGACGCTTTAAAATTAAACATCATTCCGTAAACAACGAACCAGTCCTGTAAAAATATTTTAAAGTTAATGACCCGCTTGTTGCATCTTGTAGCTTTTTGGAAATATAATTTACCTAGTAAAATCGCCTTTTAATGCACTAGTTCCAGCATATTCACGACTAATAGAATCACCATTATTAGCCCAAACTGTAAGATGAAAAATAAACAAGTTAGTTTTAAAAAAAAAACAGAGAAAACAATCATATTACTAACCATTATTGAAAATATTTTCAAAATTTTCGTAATGTGAAATGCCATTATCGAGAAAATCAGCGATTCCAAGTCGTAAAAGTTGAAGGGTTAAAACTTGTCGGCCTAATGCACTCTGATGAATTTAAAAATTGTTAGGAAATACATTGGCAGAAGAATTAAGGCCGTAGAAGACATACCTGAACGACGTTAGTTCGATCCAAACAATCGATGCAATTCTGAAATAAAAATAATAAATTATCAATGGCTAATTTAAGCGATTTGACTTCATCATACCGTACCGTTCGAAATATTCCCTTCTGTTTGAGATGAACATGCTCGTCCCCATCTCTCCAAAAATATCTATTTTATGATTCGAAATTAGATAACTTGCTTTTCACAGTAAAGGAAAAATGTCCTAATTACCCAATAGAATTAAAATTACTATCCAGACTGCAAACAAGCTTTGAAATATTTTCATATTTCATTCCTTTACATTCTTTGTGAAAATCAAATTCCACGTATCTATAAAGTTAACAAAATTCATCAATTAAAAAATCATATCAAAATCCATAATTCGTTTAATACATACTGGACATTATCAAAAGCAAGGTTCACAATCGCCTCTCGATATGCGCTACCAACAACTAATTCTGGGCCGCTTAATTCAGCTAGATTTATTGAAACAATGGATCCATAGTTCTCAGACAAGTATTCAAAATGTTTCTGGAACGCTTCCTTGTTCTCTGCTTCCGTTCTTTCCAATACTGGTTTAGGCCTTAAACCAGTTCCCGTTTGTGACCAAAATAATGGAACTTTAGATGAAGAAATTGTTAGAATATGGAAATGAAAACAAAATATCCCGAGTATAAAGAAAAAAAAATGAAACTAACTTGATCCTCGTATTTGAAGAAATGACACAACATGAGTGATGTCGCCGATCTTTAAATAAAATTAATACGATAACGATAATACTAAAAAGACAATAAATTTTAAAAGGAAGACGAGGTAAAATACCGGCATTGAGATAATTTGCTCGGTCTCGACAAAATTCGCAACTTTCCCAGATTCATTTAAACCTCTTCGTTGATATCTTAATCCTAGGATTTATTGAAATGTATTACTACAAATATTAATATATTACGATTTCAGTTTAGATTTACTATTTACCTGCTCGTTCCCGACTTCGACGCGATATTAATATAAAATCGAAACTCTGATTATCAATTTCACATCTTTCAATTTGAACATATCCCTGCATTATCGGCAAAATCCAAGAGTGCAACTGACAAAGATAGCAAATTAAAATATTTAATTGATGAAATGCATCAATTATGAATTAATTATTGATGTTTCCATACTTCTTGTTTTATTAAAGATTCAGACAAATGCTCATTCCACCAAAATCTTCTATCCACCTGCGCAAATTGATTTTTGATCAATATTTCATCAATTAAAATTTAATGAAATCACTGTTAAACCTGTTGCCACAAAGGTTTATTTTGTGAATCTTTGCGTGAATCTTCCTTTCGCTGCAGGGATGTAGTAAGATCTATAAAAAATTCAAAAAATTTAAGCATTCTTTTGTAATGAGAAATAAAATCAGAAAAAGCTTACCAAATTCATAAGAAAAGAAAAACGAATTGGATCTAAAAAGTAAGGCTATTTCCTTTATTATTCTGCCTTCCAAGCCTTTTTCCTAGAGATTAATTAATCAATCATTTATTTAAAATCCAATCGTATTTTGAATAACGACGTATGCGCCACAAACCTTCTCAATGATAGGTGGTAGTTGTGTGTTTGTAAATTCTCGAGTGCCTGCTGCAACTTCAGTTTTTAACTCGTCCCAAACCACTGAAAGTCTCTTCGTTATTCCCAACGCGACCGAAGAATTAGAAGGATTTCCGAGATTATTGTTACCCTCGATCGAGACTGGACTCATGACTTCATCCGAATTTACAGATGAAATTTCCATTTCATCTTCACGTTCAGCTATTTCTTCAGGATCAGACACAAATGTCGGCGAGGGAGATGTTCGTTTTTTCCCGATTTCACCTAATGCTGTCTTCATTTTATTAAATAACGCGCCGACAGGCTTCTTTCCGGTGGGAATCGGTATTGACAGAAAACGATTAGGCGGTGAAACAGAGGAAGGTGGTGTTTTTGAAATTTGACTTGCGTCTGCTTCTGTAATCATTTCATTGTCTCCATCTTCTGATCCAAATTGAACATGTCGCGAAGTGACGTCATCACTTTCAGGTAGGGAAATGTTTGAGCTTTCTATTATTTCCTCTGTTTCTTTAAATAATTGAAAATCATTTATCTGCATGAAAGTCAGATACGTTATTAAACAGATTTTTGTAAATCAAAATTTTTAAGTTATTAGAACCTCACTTGTTCTTCCATGATTAAGCATGCTCGCTCAAATTGAAATGGTAATATTGCTGTTCCCTTCACCATAAAAACATCTTTTCCTTGGATCTGTCCAAGTGTTTGTGCTCTAGTAATAACAATCAAATATGATCCTGTACATTTTATGGGCAAAAAGAATATTAAACTACTTTGATCAAAAGAGCTATCAATAAAATGAAATTGGTAGAGTTACCTGAAAGCAATTTAATAAAGCCTACAACACCCCAAATTTCGTAATGTCTTGCGATCGGAGAAGGCTCATGTTTTGCTACATCAACAACAAATAATTAAGTTAATTTAGGGAAAAAAACAAAAATAAAAGATGCCTTTAATCACATTTCTTTTCAATTTTTCCAGTCTCATATAATATTTCCAAAACTTCATCTCCAGCGATCAAGGTAAATCCACTTGTGTCGATCGAGATAGTTATTTTCTGGTGAATTACATGTATTAACTCAGGTTGTTGATTTTCATCGATATTATTGGTATTGTTGTGAGGGTTGGCCTCTTTTATTTCTGTTGGAGGGGGCGGTGGTGAGCTTGAGTTCTTTCGTTTAAACATTCTCGCTGAAAATGATGCGTTTTGGGAATGAATATTTAAATTGCCGAAAACGGATAACAAATTAACAATTATTGTTCGTTTGAAAAGTTTGTTTTGTGATCGGGGTTAAACCCACATTTGCACCCACTCCCTTAAAATGGCAATGATTTCTTCATAGCCAAATTTGAACTACGTAACGGTAACCCCCGCGTATTCTAATACATGTAACACAAAACATCAGTGACATTATGTTTTTAATGCAATCCATTAAAGAGCAAGCAGTATGAGAGTAACTCTTTTTTGAAGATATCTATCTGACTACATGTACATATATTATCAAATTTAGCGAACATACTTAGATGTCGTGACGAATGTTTTATTTTGGAACGAGAATATATATCGATTAGCTCAACCAGTTAGCCCTCCGTTAAACCCAAATGGTTAGTGTTATTAGAAAAATTCGCTACACCGAGGTTTATTTAATAAATTCTGTTCTTAAGAGAGATTTACTATCGCTATAGCTGTTTCTTTACAGAAGAATGTTCCGGAATCGAGCCTAACGTTTATTGATTTCACCGCATCACATGTTCACGTATCATTTTACTTGTATTATCGTTATCTGAAACTTGTGTTCAAATTATTAATTAACGGAAATTTCCGTAAGTTTGTCAAAATGCGATGTTTCAATCGTCGTTGATCAAGTAACAAGCAAGCAGATTTTTACAGCTCATCTTATAATTCTGATATCTCAAACGTCATATTGCGAGGCAACATTCTCGAATGTTTGAAATGAGCGTGTGCTTGGTTGAGAAACCGAATATTAGTCGAAATACTTTTTAAAATTCGTATGAAATAATCAAAGCTATGTTACAATATTAAATTTGAAAGTTTCATTATGTTTTGTTATAGCTATCTCTATATTGAAACTGTTGACTTAAAATTATGATTTATTGATAACTATTAGATGTCTTAGTTGTACAATATAAGAAAATTATAAAACAATCGGAGCCAGTCAATTAGCATTTACATGTACTTATTCTTTCAAAAAACTTAATATGTCACATTATAATTTTTGTCAAAAAAGGTGTGTCTAATGTAATAATGCACATGTAGCTGATGCACAAATTCGAAGAGAAAGAGGACGAGCTCGAAGACAGAAACTTGAACACGAATATGAGAAATAATATTAGCAGTTGAGAATAATGAAAAGAGAATGCATGTATTTCAAAAAGCTATCATGTTTAATAGTAATTCAAAGTATCTACAAACGATCCAACTTCCGTCTTGTAAACTGTATCAGATTTTATTTCTCATTCTAGTTCAAATTTTGGAATTTATATAGTTTTCAATATCTTAATCATCTTATAAGAAGTTCGAACGAGATATTGTCCAAAATGCGACATATATCTAAGGTCCGAAGTGTACAACTAAGGTTTAATGCTCTTCTGAGAAAATAACAACGGAAATTTCGTAATGAAATGTAAGAAATGACCATCGTAATCAAAGTTGCAAGAAATGAAGTTAACGACGACGGCGTTGATGATTATTCATTATATAAACTGCTGCAATTTAATAAAACATCAATGCTGAGTCAAATATTAACAAAAATGACATGTTGTAATCCAACCACACACCTGATTGGCTCAGATTATAATTCCTTAATTCTTAGAACCCAGAAGTCAGATAATTTCTGTCAGTCTTGAATTGGACTGTGTTTCAAAACCCCTTTCGGCTAAAGATTGACAATGAGTACATATGCAGTACAATGTTGGTTAGACGCTTTGTTTAAATGGAAGTAAATTTGCGTCATGTACATGTATAACGATAAGGTTATATATATGGTAGTAATAAAGAAAGTACATATCGATATCCGATTGATGCAATGCGAACAAATTATTCCATTTTAATTCGATATTAATATCGGCGGCGATCGTACATTTACAGATTACTATATAATAATAACGAATAGGATTGTTAAGTATTATTCGTTACCAATAATTTTGTAACAACGCAAACAATATTGTCAGAATGCTTATATCTAATGATACTTTCGCTTCCTTAACTTCAAATATAGAATCCGGAAAGCTTATAGTGAACGGCACAGAAGAAGCGGAAGCCGAGGAAATTAAAGAATGGCATTTTCATGTTTATTTTTTTCAGGTACATGTAGACACGTATTTCATTTAGAGAATTGATAAATAGCTAAATTATTATTTTACATAAAAAGGAAAATGAAAAAAGCAAAGAATCAGCATTAGCACTTCGACGAAAGATAATTGAATTAATTCGCGAAGGATTTTTTCATCCTGTTCCTTATGCTTCATTTAATATGGTTCCGATGGGACCTCACCCAATTGTAAGTTGAACTTTTCACACTATATACGTATGTATTGAGTGACAATTTTTTCATCCAAGCATTTTAATTTTTATTCTGCGATAATAGGGTTCATACGAAGTTTGGTGTCCAAAAGAACACTTTGCTCGAGTATTCTCTTGGTTCGTGCTAAATCGTGGTCAACATTCTGTTTTAGTGCATCCACTAACAGTTGAAGAGGTATTTAGGAAATTTATTAATCTAAAACAAACCAACGATCATTTTCTAAACAATAAATTGTGCATTAAATACAGATGAAAGACCACGCAGAACGAGCAGTATGGATGGGTACTCCAATGCCATTAGACACGAAATGGCTTGCTGAACGTCTTCCACAAGTGCCATTACAATATCCCGAATTGAAAATGGGGTACTCCGCGCCAACTTCTTCTCATTCATAGTTATTTATTATTAGTTATCGTACTATATAATTTAACAATACAAAAACGGTTTGGTCTCTGGCTTAAGCAATTAATGGGCAAACAACATGTATTGGAAAATCTTGAATGGTAGTTTTTATCACAGCATATCATATTATACTTTCTTTTTGTCTTTAATTTTCTTCTTTTTTATATGTACATGTAATATACATACATGTATATCTATGCAGATATTTATATAAAATTTATGAAGCTTAACAAAAGAATTATACTAAAAATATAATTTGTTTAATGCTGGCAAAACTCATTATCAAGGATTTGAAATGGTGTTTGAGAAAATATATTTAATTAATTTTTCAAAATTTATTTTATCAAACACAATTAATAAATTCAAAAGTATTGAAATACCATGATCTTGTAGATTAAGTTTTTTTTATAAATATGGTGCAAACGGTCTAGTCACATCAAATAACTAAGCCACCGCTGAAATTTATGCTGATCATTTTTATTGGCTAAAATTCAACATGTGATGTTTGATTATTTTGAAAATGGATTTCGCCGTTTTTTTTTATTCGCCTTTTTTTTATTTTATTTCGAGATTAGGATTCATATTAATTAAAATGATTAAATTAAACGATCATGATTTTCGTAATTTTTTTTAAATAATTATGCCAAAGTTAAACAAATGCACTAGACAGTCCCGGGATGCTATCATGAAACGTTGGGAAAAAGAAAAAAACTCCAGAGAAATAATACCCGAATTATCAGACACTGAAAGGCTTGATGAATCATTGTTTAGCAATTTTTGGATAGAAGGTGAAGAAACACGCTTTGATAGTGACAAATTTACAGATGAAATACCAGAAACACAACTAAATATTTTAGAACAACTTATTAAAAATGCAAAAGAATCAAATATATGGGCTAAAAATTCGCGTGGGCCAGTATACAATGGTACAGCATCATCGACATTGCATAATAAAAGGGTTATTGGAGAAAAGCTACTTTAAATTTTATGAAGATTACTGAAATGTTTCCAGTAATTGAATCCAAATACAGATTACATGTTTGAGGATATGTACGACAGTGATAATGATAATAAATTTAATTTGGATACTTTATTAAAAAAAAAAGATTTTCAACTTCAAATTGTAAGTCAATTTCTTCATCTAGTTCGGGATCAAGAATTTACCAAGATAGATGCAAGCAATCTTCTTGCTCAAAGCTTAAACAAAGGTCCATGGCAAGCATGGCTTATTCGTTCCTGGACAAATCAATGGCTTAACAATGGTGTAATTATTACGTTAAAACATGGTCATCATGCAAAGATTAGATCTCTTCTTCTTCACGAAGATCTCAAATTACAAGTTATTGAATATTTACATGCATATAAGTTCAAGTTGAAAATTGGTGATTTTGTTAAATTTATTAAAGATGAGATGATTCCTATTCTTGGAATAGAAAAAAAAACCAGTATCTCATACTCCACCGTGTGTGAATGGTTGCACCTACTTGGTTGGGAATACAAAGACCACTCAAAAAATATTTATTTTGATGGTCACAAACGTGAAGATGTGATAGATAGGCAATAATTTTTATAACAATAGGCAGAATTATGAAAACGAATGGCTACTTATGAGAGAGAAAATTTAGAACAAATTATTTTACCTATTCTTCCATATGGTGTTCCTGAAATTGTTCCTGTTACTCATGATGAGTCAATCTTTTATGCCAATAATGATGTTATCAAGGCTTGGGATCCAGCAGATGAGAATCAGCTTTGTCAAAAATCACAAGGTTTTAGCATTTATGTGAGTGAATTTCTTTGTGAATCAATTAGGTGACTTTTGCTTTCAAGAGAAGAGTGTGCAATTAATAATTCATTATCAGATAATGAATAACTCAAATATACTGAAGTCTGTATTATAATATATCCTGATACAAATCATAATGGCTGGTGAACAAATAAAGATATCATAAAATAAGTAAAAAAATGAACTATTCCAATATTTGAACGTACTCATCCAGGAAAAGTTGCATTATTTTTGTTTGATAACAGTTACAATCACAATATATTTGCCGATGATGCATTATTAGTTTCAAGAATGAACATGAAAAATGGTGAAAAATAGTCACTTCTTCATAATGGTAAGATATCTAATGATTCACTTCATATCATGATATTTATAGATAGTAATAGTATAATTAAGCCTAAAGATATTCAACAAATTCTTGAGAAGCATGATTTATGAATATCAGAATTAAAAAAGAAATGCAATACATGTATATAACATAATCATGATCTGATTAAATTAGACTATTGTGAGAAGATATTGAATTAATTAATAATAAAGAGAGAAAAATTAGATTATAACTTTAATACTAACAAAGATTTTAAATTCTGTGTCAATATCTACAGATATTATCTTTAAAAGAGATAAATAAATAATAAAAGAATAATAAAAATCAAGAAAATTATAAAGATCAGTTAGTAAAGTTACTAGCAATCTGAATTTAAAAAAAGATATAGCTTCTTTATAGTAAAGATCTTTTACTCTCAAAAATAATAATACAAATAAAATAAAAAGTATAGCTTATTTATAGTAGAGATCTTTTATTCTTAAAATAATATCAAAAATTAAAATAATATTATATTTAAATCAAAATTAACTTTATATAGTTAAAGAAATAAAACTAAGTAAGAGAAAAAATACTAGTATAATTAGAAAAATAATCTAAAAAGATCACTATTATTATGATAATAAGCTTTTTAATTATATTTTCCAAATAATTTAATTTAAAACTATTTATTTCAAGTTGAAATAGCAAGTTCTT